TTCTGGCCGCGACTAAACGTAGGACAGGCGATGGACGCCTGATAAACAGAGGGAGAGACTTCAATGACGTCACGTGGGCTTAGTAGCGGTAGCCCAGTTCGCTTGCAGTGATGAAATAATTTTTGTTTTTTTATTCAATATATTTTTATTAGTAAAGTGGATAAGTCTTGTGTTTATATCTAATGATTGTTATTTTTTAAATATACCTCCTTCAATGCCTGCAAGAGAATTCTTTCATCACCAATAGGAAATACGTAATACGTAACCAAACGGTAATTAAGCATTTAAGGTTGACATTCGTGTTACGAGCCGAATTTCGGTGTAGCTTCTTGTATCTTCGGTAGATCTGCTGTCGTTAAGGATAAATATGCCTACTTTCGTCACAACCTTCGATCCATGAGGATGGATAATTGTTTTTATCTTAATGTATTCTGACGGGTTTAATCAATATTCCAGGAGCTGGAAGTAGAAACGGCGAGAGAGAGGAAGAGAGAGAGAGAGAGAACAAAACATTCAAGGAGGCCATCAGCAGTATTCAATATAAATAATCAACTGGAGCTATAGATTTCCATTACAAGACATTCTAAAAATCAATTAAGACAAAATGATACGCAAACGATAATTATGTAACACAAAATAGCAACAACACACTAATACATAAGTAAGAATCGATTATCCAAATATATGTAATTTTTTCTTACTACAACAGTTCGCATTTGTTTTTTCTTTATTCTGTGAATGGGTATAAAAAAGACACTTCATTTCCCTCTCTCTCTCTCTCTCTCTCTCTCTCACTCTCTCTCTCTCTCTCTCTCTCTCTCTCTCTCTCTCTCTCTCTCTCTCTCTCTCTCTCTCTCTCTCTCTTTCATTCATCTCTCTCTCTCTCTCGTTCATTTCTCTCCCTCCCTCTCTCCCTCCCTCTCTCCATCCCTCTCTCCCTCCCTCTCTCCCTCCCTCTCTCCTTCCCTCTCTCCCTCCCTCTCTCCTTCCTTCTCTCCCTCCCTCTCTCCTTCTTTCTCTCCCTCCCTCCCTCCTTCCTTCTCTCCCTCCCTCTCTCCCTCCCTCTCTCCTTCCTTCTCTCCCTCCCTCTCTCCTTCCTTCTCTCCCTCCCTCTCTCCCTCCCTCTCTCCTTCCTTCTCTCCCTCCCTCTCTCCCTCCCTCTCTCCTTCCTTCTCTCCCTCCCTCTCTCCTTCCTTCTCTCCCTCCCTCTCTCCCTCCCTCTCTCCTTCCTTCTCTCCCTCCCTCTCTCCCTCCCTCTCTCCCTCCCTCTCTCCTTCCTTCTCTCCCTCCCTCTCTCCTTCCTTCTCTCCCTCCCTCTCTCCCTCCCTCTCTCCTTCCTTCTCTCCCTCCCTCTCTCCCTCCCTCTCTCCTTCCTTCTCTCCCTCCCTCTCTCCCTCCCTCTCTCCTTCCTTCTCTCCCTCCCTCTCTCCCTCCCTCTCTCCTTCCTTCTCTCCTTCCCTCTCTCCCTCCCTCTCTCCCTCCCTTTCTCCCTCCCTCTCTCCCTCCATCTCTCCTTCCTTCTCTCCCTCCCTCTCTCCTTCCTTCTCTCCCTCCCTTCTCCCTCCCTCTCTCCTTCCTTCTCTCCCTCCCTCTCTCCTTCCTTCTCTCCCTCCCTCTCTCCCTCCCTCTCTCCTTCCTTCTCTCCCTCCCTCTCTCCCTCCCTCTCTCCCTCCCTCTCTCCTTCCTTCCCTCCCTCCCTCTCTCCTTCCTTCCTTCCCTCCCTCCTTCTCATCTTCCCTCCTTCTCTCCCTCCCTCTCTCCTTCCTTCCCTCCCCCCCTCTCTCCCTCCCTCTCTCCTTCCTTCTCTCCCTCCCTCTCTCCTTCCTTCTCTCCCTCTCTTTCTCCCTCCCTCTCTCCCTCCCTCTCTCCTTCCTTCTCTCCCTCCCTCTCTCCTTCCTTCTCTCTCTCCCTCTCTCCCTCCCTCTCTCCTTCCTTCTCTCCCTCCCTCTCTCCCTCCCTCTCTCCCTCCCTCTCTCTCTCCTTCCTTCTCTCCCTCCCTCTCTCCTTCCTTCCCTCTCTCCCTCCCTCTCTCCTTCCTTCTCTCCCTCCCTCTCTCCTTCCTTCTCTCCCTCCCTCTCTCCCTCCCTCTCTCCTTCCTTCTCTCCCTCCCTCTCTCCCTCCCTCTCTCCCTCCCTATCTCCTTCCTTCTCTCCCTCCCTCTCTCCTTCCTTCTCTCCCTCCCTCTCTCCCTCCCTCTCTCCCTCCCTCTCTCCTTCCTTCTCTCCCTCCCTCTCTCCTTCCTTCTCTCCCTCCCTCTCTCCCTCCCTATCTCCTTCCTTCTCTCCCTCCCTTTCTCCCTCCCTCTCTCCTTCCTTCTCTCCCTCCCTCTCTCCATCCCTCTCTCCCTCCCTCTCTCCCTCCCTCTCTCCCTCCCTCCCTCCCTCCCTCTCTCCCTCCCTTTCTCCAAGCTTACTCTTATCTAAAGAAATGCTAGGCTAGGTTTAGCAATGAATAATCATATAATTCATTTCTTCTTTTATTAATCAATAGTGACTAGACATCTTTTATCATGAGTCGTCATAGTGACAAAGCATTTTATATTCCTATGAGTCATAGTGACAAAGCATTTTATATTCCTATGAGTCATAGTGACATAGCGTTTCTTAAATATAAAAGAAATTCGTAGGATAAGCAGGTAATAAAAAGGGCACAGCTATAGTTCCCGAGATGATAGTAATCCCTGTTATTCCCTATGAATTAACTAGCATACGACGCAACATCATATGGTAATAAAAAAAATAAACAAAGAGAGAGAGAGAGAGAGGCAACAACCACTGCCTAAGAATCCGGATCCATAACTGCAGAGATTCCGTAGTTCAAGCTGTGCCAATGCGCACATGCCGTTGCAAAATACTTTTACTAAATCTGGGTCAAAGAACAAATTATTTCTCTCTCTTTCTCTCTCTCTCTCTCTCTCTCTCTCTCTCTCTCTCTCTCTCTCTCTCTCTCTCTCTCTCTCTCTCTCTCTCTCTCTCTCCCTCCCTCTCTCTCTATCTTTCTCCCATCAACCTTATTTACTCTCTCTCTCTCTCTCTCTCTCTCTCTCTCTCTCTCTCTCTCTCTCTCTCTCTCTCTCTCTCTCTCTCTCTCTCTCCCTCCCTCTCTCTCTATCTTTCTCTCATCAACCTTATTTGCTCTCTCTCTCTCTCTCTCTCTCTCTCTCTCTCTCTCTCTCTCTCTCTCTCTCTCTCTCTCTCTCTCTCTCTCTCTCTCTCTCCCTCTCTCTCTATCTTTCTCTCATCAACCTTATTTGCTCTCTCTCTCTCTCTCTCTCTCTCTCTCTCTCTCTCTCTCTCTCTCTCTCTCTCTCTCTCTCTCTCTCTCTCTCTCTCTCTCTCTCTCTCTCCCTCTCTCTCTATCTTTCTCTCATCAACCTTGTTTGCTCTCTCTCTCTCTCTCTCTCTCTCTCTCTCTCTCTCTCTCTCTCTCTCTCTCTATCTATCTATCTATCTATCTATCTCTCTCTCTCTGTCTCTGTCTCCCTACTTACCATATTAGTACCTGCTAGACTGACCTGCGTTGCCCTGCTGATGACAACTGTCTATGAGGCCTATTAATCATCTGTTCCTAATCCTAAACAAGAGGTCAAGCAAAGGTTAACCAGGTGGCCTTCAGTGAGGTCCTTTGTCTTCACCAGTCACCTACAAGTATATTTATACAATACAAGTTGTGACCCTGATAGAGAGAAAGAAGACATAGAAGACTGTTCTCAAGTGTTTGGAAATATATCAAATACAAAAGCATATATGACTAACGTGAAGCATCTAATCTATTCCAGTTTCACAGTAACACTTAAAGTTAAAGGTATCAACCCAGAATGTTTCATAAATTCAGATGTTTTTCCTAGATACTTAAATGTAAAAAAAACGACCAGCTTCTTTGATGTGGTCACACAGTCAGCAAGGCCAAATGAAAAAAGAATATATCAATGCGCAATCCCTCATTGGTCACTTTGAAAAACTTGAGATGATGATTACGGAGAGAATTATCGGCATCTTTTCCATTAGTGAAATATAGCTTCATCAAGAAATGTCTAGTAATTTTATTAACATTTAAAATCTTAGTGTTTACACGAGGGTAATTTAAAAAGTAATGCCTCCTTTTTCTGCTTCAAGAGAACCGAGGGGATTGTTTATAACATTGTTGTGATGTCTGAACCTGAAATTTTTATCTCTCTGTTACAGGCATTGGCGGTGTGACAGTCGAGTAAAATAACCCCTGTCATGGATGAGCGTTAGAAACATTGAAGCACTGAATTCCTCTATGCAGAAGTGGAACCAACCGCCATTCACCGGCGTTCGGTTGACATTTACGGAGCCGTCAGCACGGGTTGATGTCAGCACGTGTAGGAGATGGGTTTGTCGATTCCGGCGTGACGACGGAGATGAGAGTGATAAACCGCGCTCTGGACGGCCATGCACAGCCAGTACTCCGGGAAATGATGTTCGCCTCGATCAACTAATTCGCGTTAATCGGCGGATAACAGTGAATGAAATACGTGCAGAGTTGAATGTGAGCGTGCACCCACAGCCACACCCGACTCCGCACGAATTTCATTCACAGTTATCCGTCGGTTAGCGTGGATGAGTTGATCGAGGCTGGCGGCTGTGCATGACCGTCCGGAGCGCGGTATGTCACCTGCATCTTAGTCGCCACGCCAAAATCGATGAACCCACCTCCTAGCTGTGCTGACATAACCCGTGCTGACATCGGCTCAGTAAACGTCCACCAAGCGCCGGTGAATGGTCATGACGCATCTCTGCTTTTGACGCAAATCTATGATAGTGGTCACTTTACACGACCGTCAAACCGTCGATATCTTCAACAGAGAGACGAAAAATTTAGATTATGGGCGCGAAGGCTAAGTCATCATAACAATGCTTCAGATCCCTTGGAGCAGAATAAAAAAAAATAGGAGGCATTACTTTTAGTTTAGAACTACCCTCGAAGATGTGATGTAGGGCGAGGTGGAGGGATAAGCATATACGTAAGGGACAACC